AATAATATTGTTTGATACTCGATTGCGAAATTCTTTTTTGCCTGAATCTGCCCTGCTGAAGTCCCGGGACGCGGATGTGCCCCTTCCGCGCCATTTTTAAGACGCCGCGCGCGGTTTTAGGGGGAGAACATCGCCAGGTTATTAATAATAATAATAATAACGGGTGTATATCAGAATGGGGCACTAACATAAATAAATGAGCTGTTTCATTATTAATACGCGCCCGACTCCATCACGTAAAATAACATCCCCGAGTTGCCCGGCAACCGTCACTACTGCAAAATTAAGTTTAAATTGGAAAACGAGAAACACTAGGATATGATGCAATCTAGCCGGAGAAAATTAATATGGCTGGTACCGCATTAGAGCGGCCCCCGTCGTAGCTCTTTCTCTGTCCGGGGCGTCGTATTAAAATTTCAACCCTTCGTCGGGGACGGACGCTTTCCCGTGAAATTTTCCGTTACATGGAAATGAAAATTTCAGCGGCGATACGCGTTTATTTTCGGTTTCGCTTCCGTTCGCGATCACGGTCGGACAACGGTTTTCTGTGAATAATTTAACGGAGGATTATAGATTACTCCAACAAGCTAGTCAATATTGCCTATGGACTTTTTTCTGTAACATACCTAGATATTTATTTATTTAATTTATTTATTATACCTACATACAGGGTGGGCCATTAGTGTGAGAAAGTAAAATAACTCCCTTGTTATTCATAATACAGAAAACAAGTTTATATTAAAGTTGCACAGGATTAAAAAACCTAAAGTACAAAATTAATTTGAAACATACAGGGCGATGAATAAAAACAGGACACACCAAATATTACATTTTTTTAAATGGAACACCCTGTATATTTTTAAACATATGGATTTCTGAAAAAAATCTATATATGGCAATATAAACACTTTAATATTTTAGTGCGGGGTTGCCAAGTTATGTAGAAAATTCTTCGAATTTTGGAAAAAACATTACCTCGAAGAAGTTGTATTAACTTTCAACTACTGACACTTGGAGCAAAAATATTTGTTAGAGTTATAGGCAAATGTTAGCTAATATCGATATTTTATACAGGGCATTTTTTATAATACGATCATTTTTAGAAAGTTCAAACTGGATTTTCTAAAATTTTTCAAATGGAACACCCTGTATTTTATTGTTCTATTTTATTCACATATCAGTCCACTTCAACTTTTATTAAGTATGTTCTATCTTTAGTTGTTAGTTTTTAAGATATAGCAACATTTCTGGAAAAAACTAATTTTTATTATTTTCGGTCGCACGAATGGCTTTGGAAAAAACGGTCACATTGTGTCAACTTGTCAGTTCCATTTTGAGTTAATTTTATTAGTTAATATTTTGTTAGTTGGTATTCTATAAAATAATAAAAATTAAATTTTTTTCAGAAATATTACTACATCTTAAAAACTAACTATTTTAGATATAGAACATGCTTAATAAAAGTTGAAGTGGACCGATATGTGAATAAAAAAGAACGATAAAATACCATTTGAAAAATTTTGGAAAGTTAAAACTTTCTTAAAATGATCGTATTATAAAAAATGCCCTGTATAAAATATCGATATTAGCTAATATAGGAGCCTTTGTCTAACATTTGCCTGTAACTCTGTCTTAAGTATTTTGTTCCAAGTGTTGGTAGCTGAAAGTTAATACAACTTCTTCGAGGTCATGTTTTTTCCAAAATTCGAAGAATTTTCTACATAACTTGGCAACCCCGCACTAAAATGATAAACTGTTCATATTGCCATATACAGAATTTTCTCGGAAATCCATATGTTTAAAAATATATAGGGTGTTCCATTTAAAAAATGTAATATTTGGCGTGCCCCGTTTATATTCATCGCCCTGTATGTTTCAAAATAATTTTGTAGTTTAGGTTTCTTGATTCTGTACAACTTTTATATACACTTTTTTTCTGTATTATGACTAATTTTAGTTACTTTACTTTCTCAGTTCTTCTTTTTGATGTAGAGATTGATGAAGTACTTCGTGAAGGAAAATGCGCGTGATCCCACAAAATCCCAGGCGTGCTGCGTCCGTTTTTAAGAGTAAAATTCTAATATTTCATATTAGGGATTTTTTGGGGGAAAATATATTTACGCCACTGCATTCAGGACCCCCCAAAACGGGCCAATACCAAATTTTATCAGACATTTTTAAATAATAATGATTTTGTTGCCAAATCAATAATCCACAAGTCTTTATTTTTTTCTCATTAAATTATTGTTGATATCAAGTTGTCTATGAAGCAAAACAAAAACAAAAAATTAAATTAATTAAACTCTAGTAATGTGGTATTATAATAATTATTAATAATCTTAGCTTTGACACTTGTATCAATCCACCATTTACTTCTATGCACTTCTCAATTGTTTTTCGTACGTTCGTAATTACTTTTTGTATTTGGTTTGGGGTAATTTCTGCACAGGCTTGCATTGTCCTGGCACGTAGTTCGTGTACAGTTTATCGTCTTGATTTATAAATTTTTTGTTTCAATAAACCCTAAAGGAAAAAATCTAAGGGCGTCAAGTCCGGGGCTCTCGGCGGCCACTCAATTAAAGGACTATTTCGTCCTATCCAACAATTCTCAAAATGTTCGTTTAACCATTCTCTCACGACAACAGCGTTATGAATAGGGCTACAATCTAACTGAAACTTCATATTAAGGAGATTTCTTAAAGGCAAATCATCTAATGTTCCGAAATTCATTATTAAGAAAATTAAAAAATCTATTCGCATTCCAATTGCCGTCAAAAAAGGAAAGATCTAATTATTCTATTATTTAGTATTCCACACCAAACGTTAACTTTTTGAATACTGCCTCTTTGCTTTATAATGAATTTTGGATTCTCAGTTGACCAATGACCAGTTGACCATATTTGAAATTTTTTTTTCTTATAAAAAACTTACATTTTTTATAAATCCTCAAATTTTTTCAGTGGCTTTTTTTTCAATTTTTTTTATTGATTGAAAAAATTTTTTTCAAATTTAGCTTATTTCACACCATTTTGAAAATGTTTGAAAATGTATATAGAATCCCAAAATTGAAAAAAATATATGAAAGAAATAATTGGAAGTGGTATATGATTAAAATTTTTGGTCATGTTTAGGCATTTTAAAGATATTTTAAAAACAAGCAAAAATTTTAATCAAGAATGCCTTTTTCTCATAAAATGAACAATAAAAATATTTTACTGTAGGTTTCTATCAAAATAGGTCGATTCATACACAAATTGAAATTATAATATAAATTTGAATTCTAAATAACTTTCTTGAATAACATATTACCGTATTGGTATTGTTAAAAACAAAGGTAGTTTATTCTTGAACGATTTTTATATTTGCCGATTTTCTGATCACCCTGTATATGCAAGATGAAAGTTCTCCTTGCCAACCGCATTTTAAAGACAAGCAAAAATTGTAATCAAAAAAATGAAAAATAAAAATATTTTCGCTTTTTTTCACTCTAACCTTGGACATACTGTATACAGTTATTGTAAAAAAAATGAGCCATCGGTGCACTGAACTTTAATATTGTTGTACCAAATAAAAATAGGTGGTAAAAAAAACACAACAGGAAGTTAAAATTTTCAAATTATTTCGCATTTAAAATTGATAAGTATTGTTTTGTAAAAATAATGCATGCTTCTTCTTCTATGAGGTAAATTCTATAATAATTATCACAATATGTCTGGATCCATTAGTCATATTTATTTTCAGTTTTTTTATAGATTTAAAAGTCCTTAAAATTCACTAAAATGCTTTTGAAATAAACGCAACAGTATAAGAATAATAAAAAAATGTAAAAATGAAATATTGACTCGAAAAATTCTTGCCATTCTAGCAAATAACTATTATTCTCCATTCAGCTTTAAGATTAATATGGCGCTGTTGAATTTTTAACGTATTTTTTAGAATTGTGTTCATACCAAATATTTATGGGTGTAAGGTTTATATTAAGCTTATGGAATTACGAGTTTGAAAAAAAAAATGGCACTAAATCAGAAACTTTTACAGATTTCACTAAAGATTATGTTATTTATATATACACCAGACATTTATTATCACTATCTTTAAATTAAATCTAAAGATAAATGTATACCAACATGTTTTTCTACAGAAACTAAATGGTTTTTATCGTCCCAAAATGTGTTCAACAGATATTTTAAGAAATATCTACGAGGTGTTACAATGTTCTACGACATAATCTGCAAATGATTCTTCAACCAAAAAAAGAAGAAAAAAGTTCGTATGAATTTTGACCTCAAATGTTTCCTTCTGTCTAGCTTTGTCGGTGAAATATTTCAACACCCTGTATACGAGGAAAACCAGCATATTTGCAATATTTTGTGAAATTTTAACTGCGGTTGGTTAAATAGGAAACATTTAATCCTAAGTGTGTCGAAAACGTCTATTTTTTTCTGTCAAATAACATGAAAATATTCGTTGAGACAGTTACAGCTGAAGCAAATATCGAAACATATATTTTTCAAAGAACCGTAGATCAAAGGTTAAATTTCAAGGTTTAACGGACCCTCTCCAAATCATACCTCCTGTCACGTATATTTAGTCATAAATATATTATATGCTCGTTAGCCTTATTGATCTATAAACCATTTTTTATTAAATATGCGTGTCCGTTCCCACATCGGCATTGCATGCGAAAGCAAACGGCATTATTCAATTTGTCCGTGCCTGAAAATTGTTTCTCTAAATGTAGGCATATTATCGCGAAACGGAAACGTAATATTTCTCGATTAATTGTCCGACATCGCTATTAGTCACGATTTGTAGGAGTGTGATAAAATTATATATACCAATTATGCACCGTATCTTCTGTTCGATTTCAGTGTTAAATGTTGAACCAATCACACAAACATTTTCTTATCCACACTTGATGGTCGGGATAATCCTTGCAGCAAAATCGTTTTGTCCGGACAAAAATACGCTTTAGTGGGAATTTGTTTTTAACACGTTTACCGTCTCGTCATATCATACCACGTGCAAAGACAATGGCGGTAGCCGATTTTCAAAATGAAGAGATAGCATGTAAACAGAACAGATGTCTTTTAACATTTCATAAACGTTGCTTTTTTGTTTTCAGGTGGTTGTCAGTTCAAAAAATCATGGCAAGGTCGATGGTTCCAAAGTGGCGTGCCCAATTATCTTTTTATCAACGGTTCATATATCGACACAAAAGGAGAGTGCTACGAAGAGGAAGGGGATAAATATTTAGTCTATGAAAAGTAAGTAAATATGTTTGCACTGCTAGTTTTTTCAAAGGGAAAGAAAACATTATATTTTTCTAGTACCGTGCCTATTACGCAAGCTGTACAGGTAACAGTCGTAATATAGGGACGTTGAATAAGTTCTCGCTGTTTTTCAACTGATACGTGCGTAAATTGCTTAAAAAAATCTGTATAAATAAACATAATAATTTTTCCAATCATTTTCCTGCTTCGTTTTGTCTAAAAAAGCGGAAACATATTACTAATCCTATTAAGATGTATACAACTATCAAAGTCGTGCACTTTTTCATCGCCCAAATAAAATTAGTCACTGTACAAGGTTAAGTCAACATGCGATTGACCAATTAATTAAAATTTTTTGTCGGACCGCTCATAATTTAGATGATGTTAACGAAAAAATGGCTTTCCTCCGCGTGATAAGCGCTAAACTATACATTAAAAAAGAATAATTGTGTTTTATTCAGGCTTTCGTTATATATACATTTGAAATGTAATATGCGGTATTCTGTGCGTGATTGTGATGGCTATCTTGGTGGAGAGAGGATATAATATGTTTTTGGAAGGTCGGAAATGGAAATTTTATTACGGGACCGCGCCTTACTGTCATAATGCACGTGAGAGTGCATATGCCCTGTCAAAATAATACAATTAAAAAAAACTGTAGATTTCGTAATTTAAAAGCTTCAAGATCGTTTTAGGACTAAACAAAAAGCCTAAAGGCACTGTTTTCGGGGTGAGTTTTAAAATTTAAAAAATATAACACGTTGACTGTACCTTTTAATGTATTTCGGAAAATTAAAATTCTTGCCCGAATGAATTTGTAATAAAAAAATGCTACCTATCAATTTTGTGTAACGATACTTTTGAACTAATTTCGATTTATTCAATCTAGTGGTAAGCTTACACAATAAAAAAGAAATATATTTTTAAAGCTGTTGGTTTTTCTTATAAAATATCTAATGCCTAATGCATCGATCGAAAGTATTCAGAGGCTAAAAGTCCTGGGGTTCTTGATAGACATCCATATTTGAATAATTTAGTATTTTTTTTTTGTTTTCAGTAGTGGCTTTAAATTCTTGGTTGGTTAAGGTGTTTTGGCCTAAAATGATCTAAGACAAATCGTACAGAAGATATAAGATAAAGGGTCTCCCAGAATTCACGCAAGAAGTAATTTTGATAGAAAACACAGGTTTTCAATTAAAAATTGTAATTGTTTTCTTGATTCATAAAGTGTAGTAGTGACGGCTATGTCGTATGAAACAACTGAGGCCGGTAAAATTTAGCTCTCACACTGTATATTTTAATACCTACTATTCTACTATTAACATCAGTTCCCCTTCCACGCGAGGCGGTTAAAATAACGTGATTTAGGAAGGAACTTATAGTTTCAATGTTTAAATTCGCGGTTAATGTACGCATCGCATAGTACGCGAGTAGTGTCTGATGTCAGTGTGGGATAGTACAAATGCTTTAAGGATAAGGGCAAAGCAGGTATTAATTTAAAGTAAATAAAAAAGCAACTTCCTTACAACAAAACAAAGTAATACTAAATTTAACGAAATTTAATAGATACTTAATAATAATAAATAATATACAGGGTGTTTCTAAAATGGGGTTCCAAACTTCTGCTGCGTTTATAACTCATTAAAATAAGCCAAAAAGTTCCTATTAACATGTGCCCTAAAACGCACCCTTAGGAAGTTATATGCCCTTAAAAAGGCTCAAACAAAACTGTTTTTTTTTTATACTTAAATTTTCCACTCACCACTTTTACTAATTAAACACTGCAAAGCTCAATTGACAGTTTATCAATAACTTAAATTGTTAAGCGTTGTGGCAACGTCAGTCTTTTATTTGCCATGGTAAACAGATTTTTGTAATTTTTGGCCTAATAACTTAAAGAGCAGAGTAATTTTCAAACTCAATTTACTCGAAAACCATTGGAAAT